ACCAAATCATTGAAGAGGTCCTCTTGTGTGTTGGAATCTAATAGCTGGTATTAAGAAGGTTTCAGAGCAAGTTGCTATTGCATTTTTGTAATGCTATTATTACTGTAATGCTAGTTGCAGCTAATAGTATCTAATCCCTTACTCAATTATTATTATTGGCTGTAGCTGTATGCATGATATTGTTATTGGGGAATCCCTTACTGATTCTGTTAAGGTCAATATGGTAGGAGGTAGGACTCAATAGATTATATGTTAATGGTATGGTATTAAGGGTCACTGGTTATAATGTAGGTGATAGAATTAGGTTATAGGAACAATGTATTTAATGTGTAACCAAATGTATGTAAATTCCTGTTTTACCACACATAGATCTATATTGTTTGATTTTATAATGGTCCTAAACATGACGTTAAATTGTTTCTAAGTTGTCCTAAACATGACTTTAAACTGTTTCTAAGTTTAGCTATTACTGGTGTGTTTGTATCCATTGGTTGTCCCTTACTGATTCTGTATGCATGTACCTATGCCCATGACTAGTGGACAGAGTCCCTCATTGTTTTACATTCTTTAATTTGTTAGTGTCTGCATGTACACGTGTGTTTGATAATCATTAACTGTGTCCTCATGTAGCATGAATATTCTCCCTTTTATGTTCATATTATTATTATTGATATGCTGATGTACATGTACATGTATGTATTATATGTATTTAATTGATACACGTGTCCTCACGTAGCGTAAGATCATAATGTCTCCTGGTCTCCAGTCTTGCTTTCTCTGGACAGTTTGTCATCATTGGATCACTCCACCTGCTTGAAGGAAGACTTTAATCTATTTTGGTATTTCAATCACATCTTCTACTTATTGAGGGCCCGTTTGTCACCATCATGGAATAATTCAGTACCTTGTGAGAGCTAGTGCATCAATCAAGAACATTCCGTATGATATACTAACTGTTCTTTGGAAAGACATCAGCTAGCAAGGAGGTCATCACTGTGGACACAGGACTTGTCACTGTTATCATAGCATTGAGGCTCAAGTATCCAGCACTAATCTACAGTTTACAACTGGATCATCATCTATCACTAGCTGACTGAGAGGAGGAAGGAGAGGAACTGATAGACATACCAGAGGAGGAGAGGAGAACATATCCTAGCTGTTGTGGATTCAATGAAGACATGAGCATATTTTATCACTGTATGGGTTGAGGTACCCTTTTTCACAGTGACCTGCTTTTAGTCCCGATCATGTGCGAGGGAAGGGGAGGGTTAGTGAAGGGGGGAGGGTTCTGCCCAGGAATGTGGGCGAGGGGTCCCCCTTTTGGGTCTGATAGTGGCCCCCGTATCTCATGCTAGAACCCTCTCTTCTTCTCTTTCTCTCTCTTTCCTTTTTGTGTGATATGGACTCTAAGCAGAAGAAAGGATCAGACTTTTCTTTTTTTTCTTTTTTTTTGTCTTAATCCTTTAACTACCTAAAACCAGGCAAACACTATACAGTTGGTCTAAGCCAGGTCACAGTGGGTAGGTTGGTGAGGTTTGTGATGCAGGTAGCCTGACGGTCCTGGACACTAGCTTCCTAATTCTCATTCTGATCTCTTTCTCGATCCCGCGTGGCTTTGACTTACGATCAATTGTTGAGTTGTTTGCCCCAGCTTTCAAAATAAGTCAATAGCTCTCACTGTAGGTTTATGATCAAATGTAACGTTACAATTACGTGTGTGATCTGACATTTTGATGCAAATAATGCATTAAGTTGACGCGATAATAGCAAAATTTTAATTCTGTGTTCGCGAGTATGTATTGTTGTTTCATAGCTATAGGACAATTCATTTCATAATTTGAAAATAGTGTATCAATTTATAATGAGTTAATGTAGTTCTCAGTGACCACTGTTCCTTCCACATTTTAGTCTTTTCCATACCGAATTAACTCATTATATTTCTCCACCTTATTATTCATTACTATAATGACACATTGTGGTAGATTGTGTATCAAGAGTATACTTGTTATTATGTTAAGGTTGTAGAGGCTACAGTATAATAGGCAAGAGTCACATGCAGTAGTGGTAGGAGGTAGTGACTATACAGTTATAATGGTATGGTATTAAGTATTGAGATAAGGTGTCTTACATTGTGTGATCATACATTATAAGTTGTAGGTATAATAGTAATAGAGAAGTATGGTACTTGTATAGTAAGGTTAGTAAGGTGTAGGTATCATTGTATCATGTAAGGGTCACAGGTTATAAGTTGTATGTAGGTGATGATATGGTATTAAGATAGGAATAGCAAGGTTGATATGGTTTAGGTATCATTGTGCACAATTAATGGTCACAGGTTATAAGTTAATGTAGATAGTGGAAGATAGGAAAGGGCCCACTAGTATACCAAGGTTAATATTATGATGGAGGTAACATTATGTAACGGTATGGTATTAATTGTATAATAGTAGGATTGATATAATGTATGATCATTGTGTAACACACATTAAAGATCATATTTATAAGTTGTATGTAGGTAATGGTATGGTATTAAGATAGGAATGTATTTGTATATCAAAGTTAATATTGTGTAGGTATCATTGTGTCATATTAGAGTCACAGGTTGTAAGTTGTAGGGTTTAGTGTAAGTAATAATGTACATATGTTATGAATAGCTGAAGTGTGGATATGATGAATGGGTTAGACACCAGTACACTGGTGACAATTGCAACATCAACCAACAAACCCAATGATCCACTTTATACCAAACTAAAGGATACTAATTAGCAAAGTTTTAGCTACATATTTTCAACAATAGTTATGAGTTGTATGTAGACTGTAGTAATGTACTGCTACAGGTTACAGTAAGATATTGAAGGTTAATGGTGTCGGAAACACTAGTAGTTTTAGTACCATCAACTGGTCAACAAGCTTCTGTCCACATTGTCTGTGTGGGATGTCTCACAGTTCAAGTATTTTCTCAACATGTACATGTACAATGTATTAATCTACAAGTTCTTTCTGGACATATTACAGCTACTATTTTAAAGACTAATAAAGAGGATATCTAATTTGAAAGAGTTACGTATCAGTAATGTATGACGTAGCTTTTTATATTTCTTACTAGATACTCTCATATGAAATGGATGATAAAAGATAAAGGATATCAAATTTTGTATCCATTAATTAAAAGTGTCATAGTGATGTATTTACATTTCTCACTAGGTATTGAAAGACTGTAATAATAAGAAGATTTACAGTAATCTTTTTACAGTATAGCGTCAATGCATTCCATGTAGTAACTTTTTTGCTGGATTATGAAACCATTTTTGAAGGACTAAATCAAATTTTAAAGTATCATTCCAATTCAATATTATATATTAAAGTTTCTTTACCAAGATTTATATTTTAAATTGAACGCTGAGTTCCTGCATGAAAGATAAAAGATCTTACAGTATAGTATCAATGATGTCTTGTATTATTAACCTTTTTTGTTAAGATAAATATCTTTCAAAAATAAACACCAAGACTACCAAGTCCCTGTTTGAAGATGAAAGATCTTACAGTACAGTATCAATATTGCCATTTATTAACCTTTCTCTTTGTTAGGATAAATCTATTTTTTAAAATGAACACCAAGACTACCAAGCCCTGTTTGAAAGATGTGTTAAGGTAAATACTTCAAAAAATGGAACAACAAGCCCCTGTTTGAAAGACTCAAGATCTTACAGTATAGTATCAATAGTGTCATGTATTAATATTTCTCTTTGTTTATTAAGTTCCTGTTAAAAGTTGAAGTCCATTCAGTTAGTGTCAATATATATTGTTAACTATCATTACAGGTTGGGCAGCAATGTAGTGCCGCCTCCATGTGGTGCTGCCTGGGATCACTAGTGGCTACTACTGCTAGTGATGCTAAGAGCACTACATACAAGAAGAATATAACAAGACTGTACTAACAGTATAACTACTCATAGCAAATCTTAATATAATCATTGATAGGTTAAAGTCTAGGGGTGTGATACTAAAGAAGCAAGAGATTTATGAAGACACAAACAATGACAATTCCTTTAATTTTTACTCTTTAGACATTCATTCATTAATGCTTTGCCAAGTTTTAAAAATATTTTAAATTTTGATTTAAATATAGGAGCGATTTACATGCAGAGCAGCAATGCTATATTGAGCCTAAATGAGTCATACACACATACACTTCATTATAAAGGCATGGAATATATAACTACTGATGACTAATGACATTATCATGAGGCTCGTGTTAACTATGCAATTAATATCTTTTAGTCTGAAATGTCAAGCAGCACAATTACTGAAAGAATTAATGACACAATCATGCACTGACATTCCTTCACCCATGCTATGGTATATTGAAGGATGACATTAAAAGCATAGTACAGGATATAAGGACAAACATCAGTGAATGCATACATACACACATTTACATAATGTTGTGTAGACAGTTACTCAAAGGGAAAATTGAGAACTGGTATGTGCTGAGACAAATGAACTCCTTTGATACACACTATGGCAGATCTTAATAGGGTGAAACTGAAATGATAGATATTTCACGGATAGATGTTCATCATGCTTCATAGACATTAGACAGTTTCTGAGCCAGATGACATTAAAAGTTAAAAGTGCATTTTGACATACCACCAGTGGCAGAGAAGACTAATGGAACGAATGAAGAATGTTCTACTTGAGTCACATGTTGTTCATATTGTTTACATTTGTCATTTTCCTGATTGCAATTTGCTGTCTGAAGGGGGAAGTGTAAATTAATGATTATTATTATTATTATTATTATTTTAATAACAACTGACACATGTACTGCTTGCCCAATAAGCTGGTTGTACTATTCTCTTCTATTTATTTTAAGTACAATAATAATTTATTATTAAAATGGATGAACGCAATTATTATTATTATTATTATTATCATTATTAACAACAACAGCAATAGAAATTAACAACAATAACAACAATAACAATAACAATAACAATAATAATAAAAACACCGACAAAAACAAAACAATAACAATGACAAGACAAAAAGGAGAGAGGAATTACAATAAGGAAATAAAAGAAAGGAAAGGGGAAAGAAAAGGGAAGAGGAGGAGTGGAGTTAAGTGGGAGGGGGTAAGAGGATAATGGAGGTGACGGAAGGCAAGCCTGAAGCATCAGTATTACTATTATTATTATTATTATTATTATTATTATGTATTTACTTGTTTTTGTATGTGTTTATCATCTATCACTTTGTTAATTATTTTGTGTTTAAATTAATTATTAAATAATTGATGAGTCAGCATCATCAATAAAAAGCAAAATACAATTAATATTAGTAATTAATTACATAAATATTACTCTATCTTTTATAATATTATAGTCATGGTATTCTGTACATGTGTCTTTCTGTTTCGGATCTAGAAGGAGCTTTATATTTTTATTAATTGTTAACGATTGAATAATTTGTAATATTCCATCAGATGATATTAAAGTGCCACTTACTTCTAATTTAGTTAATGTTGAATTGTTGATAATTAGTTCAGAAAGAGACTGAGCACTAACTGAAGTAATATGAGGATTATTAAAGAAGAATAATCCTAAAAGTGTATTATTGTGTGTTTGTAGTACGTTTGTAATATCAGCAACTGCTTTGTCATCAATGGAACAGTTAATAAGATCTAAATCTAATAATGATTTATTATTAGCCAGTAAGTTACATAAGGATGAGATGCAGTCCTGTGTTAGTTGAGTGTCTTGTATTCTCAAGAATTCCACCTTTTCATTTTGTAATAAAACTGGCAATAGATCACACACAACGTCAGAAGATGATTCCTTGATGACAATGTTCGTGTGTTTGTATGTTAATAGAGAAACTACTTCTTGACATTGTATTAAAGATGGAGAGGTCAGTTCAACACCATCATTGTGCCACCTAATTGCTTTAGAATTTCCTGAATACATAAACAATTATAATTAATTACTGTATTATCAAGTATAATTCTCTACTATCACACTTTTAATGGCTAATTAAGTCAAGCAACAATTATGTATAGCTGGTTATTTTTGTGGCTTTTAATGTATAAAATTTGCATTTTGCCAAAAAATGATACCTTAAAAATACAAAATTTTGCATTAAGAAACACCGTATATAATTTTGATTGATTAAAAAAATTATAGTATTAAAATTGAAGATCATAGACAATATCTAATACCCTCAAAATACTCTATAGATTATTAGTACGTATAAATATATCTTACCATCTTCTTTTTTTCTAAGTTGGTCGAGCAGAACTGAATCTTGTTTAATTAATGACCAAAAGAGACTTGCTCTCTCAACGTTGCTCCTCGTCTTAATTTCCTTGATTTTAGGTATGTCAACATTTTCTGTCATTGCATAATGAAATAGTTCAAGTGATTCCAATGTTGACAGTTCACTCTCTTCATCTTTTTTAATATAATTAATATAAACATCTCCCTCTTGATCAGTATCTAATGATCTTGCAAACCGCCATCCATCAATATACTCTTTCTTTATCTCAAGTTTCTCTCCTTTCTTGAATGAAAGCTCATCACTTAACCTTGCCTCCCGGTCTCTAATAGCTACATAAACTGGTCCTTTTGGTGGATCAATTGATTGTGTAGACTGATCCTTTCCTAAAATACCAGTACTAGTCATTATGTTAATATAATGTAATACATACTAAGAGTAATTGAAATTTCTTTCAGTTGTTGTATATTCATTAATGATATCTTTTCCTGTAACTGTTCTATCTCCTTTTCTCTTTCAATTAATGTTTTCTCTACTCCAATTAACATTTCTTCTATTCCTAGTCATTAATAATAGTGATTGTCACAAATCAAAAATCGGTCGCTAATTTAAAAAACATTAAAAATAATTATTTTATCAATAATTTGTGTATTATTTAATTGCATGTAAGAAGGACCAGTATTAGTATTGAGTATATACAATCATCCTCGTACTATAACAAATTAATGTACAAGCAATAATGATACTCGAAACACAGCTGTACTCTAGTGTCATTATACAGTATTAAGTATGTCTGTATATATACCTGTTTTGCTTTGAAGAGATGATCGTAAATGATCTATTTCCATTTGCATTGCTTTTGTCATCTTCTTTTTACTCTCTTCCTTCTCGGACTCTAAATAATAAAAATGAACCAATTAAATTATTAGCAACAACAATTCAGTGCATGATGTATTTATTCAAAATTCATGCACATGACAATATTCATAGATATCATGTCTCAAACATGAATCTCATTATACCTGATGATTGTATTGATGACTTATTGCTTTCATCAACTTCTCTACCTTCATATGAGATACCTTTAAATTATCAATAATTATAATTAATAATAATTAGTATATACCTAATGTGTCTATTGTATCCTTCAATTTAGCATTCTCCTCAAGTAAATCATCTCTTTCACTCTCTACCATCTCCAGTTTCTTCATTAGACTCTTCACCTTCTATCAAATATTAAAGTATACTATTAATTTATATACACATACATTCACTAACCTCATCAATTCCATGTTCATCATACACAGTATAGTAACCAATAGTTAAACTGATCAATCCCATCTCCTTTAGCATATCAACGTTATCTCTAGCTGTCACTAGTAAACTCTCCATCAGATAATGAGGAGCATAACAAGTAACAATGATGGAGTTCCCTTCCTGGATCACTACAACCTCCACTTGATTATCCTTGAATGTTTTTTTCTGATTTCTTATATTTCATGAATATCTCATAGGCATCTTGAAAATGCTAGAAATACAATTAGAGTATTCATCGATAAATATCCAGCAAAATAAACTTTTGCATGCACAACATCAAAATAATAAACTTAAAGCTACTAAATGTATCGTTTGTTGTTTCAATAACAAAAAAAAACAAAATACTCTCCCTTCTGTTAGTACAAGTATAGGACACTCTCCCTTACTGTTATATGTATGTACGGTTTACAGTTATTCAAACTAACTTCTTCTTCA